TCCCGCTGGGGGGCTCTGGCCTCTCCCTCCCTTGCTCTGGCTGCTACTCCCAGCCCAGCCCAGCCCGCCCCTTCCAGCTCTTTTGCCCCGCCCCCTTTCTCCCCGGCTTTCTGGCCTCCCTCCTGGGTCCTGCCCTCCCCGCCACCGCGAGCCTGGGCCCTCAGCTTTTCACACGCGACTAGCCCCTGCCCCGTGTTCTGCAGACTGAAAACCCAGCATGCACTGCTTCCCTGCCCTGTGTCTATGGATCCGTAACTATGACGCGTCAGAGGACCCTCGGGGCGGCCGGGGACAGAAAGACAGGTGGGCAGTGCTGGCTTGCCCGCATGGTGGCGCTCCCCTGCGCCTGGGCTCCGGTCTCAGCCTGGAACACCAGGCCTTGGCCTGAGTCTCTCCGGTTTCATCCAACAGACAGGCCCCAAGAGGCCACACTCAGCGTCCCAGTGGACCCGGGGCGCAGACCCGCCGCCCACGCACCGCGCGGCAGCTCCGACAGCACACACGTGCACTCACACACGCGTGCACTCACACACACGCATGCACTCACACACGCGTGCACTCACACACACACGCGCGCACTCACACACGTTCACTCCCTGCTCATTCTCGCCTCTGAGTGCGGCCTCTCGTCTGTCGGCCGCTCTCCGTGTTGACAAAGCAGAATAAAAAATAAAAAGGAAAGAAAGAAATCCGTCTTGTCACTCGGACTCCCCCCCACCCCAGCTGGGCTTGGCAGCGCCCCCCTGCCTCCCGCCCCCGCCTTTGTATTATGGGTTTATGTCAAGGTATGTTGGATTCTAAATTAAATGTCAGCCCGCTGTACGTTTCTGGCTCCAGCCGGAGAGAATGAGGAGCTGGCGCCGGAGACCATCCAGTTGTTCAGCGCCCCGTGCCTAACAGCGAGGGGTGACAGGCCCATTGAATCACTGCGCGGTAGCTTTCCGTGCCACGGGAAGCCAAGACAAATTTATTTTTAATGATAAATGCAACTGTCAGAGTTAAGTTGAAACAGCTTTACGGAGGGAGCTTGAGTGCCCCCGCAGCGCAGGGCAGAGGCTGAGGGGACGAGGGCCGGCGGTCCCCCAGGCCCCGGGAGACCGGCACGTCAGACACCTGGCCCTGGCTCGCTGTGTCCCCGCTGCACCCCGGCTCCTTGGTGCTCACCGGGCGCTCACTGGACGTCTCCGGCCCCGCTCTAGCCAACCAACCAAGGGGGAGGAGGCAGGTGAGGAAGAGAGATGCGCTCTGGCCGGGCAGAGACCCGGGTTCAAATTCTGGCCCCATCCATTGCTGTGTGACCTCGATCAACTTCCTTAACCTCTCTGAGCTTCAGTGGCCTCACCTATAAAAATGAGGCCATCAATAACGCCCACAGGTTTTTGGTGAGGATTACATGAAATAGAGATACATTGTTCATTTTCCAGCACACGGAAAATGCTTATGGAATGGTAGCTATTAATTATATCGTTTTACTAATAGCACTGTTACTCAAGTTAATGTCACTTACCTTTCCGTGTCAGCTTCTCATCCGTAACACGAGGAGAGCCATCGCTCCCACCTACGAGGGTGGCTGGGAGGGTGCAGGGTGCCTGGCGCAGGGGCTGAGTGTCGGGGTGACGTCCAGGCAGACCACGGGCTGTCCCAGGGCAGGCGCCCCGGCTGTTGCCACCTGACACCCTGGCCACTCTTCCTCGTCTCCTTCCCCGGCTCTCTGCCTCTCCATCCCTCCGCGCATGCCCTGTGCCCCTGCCCTGCGAAGGGGGCGTTGCCTGCCTCGGGACCCCCACAGCCACGCCCTCCATCGAACTGCGGTGGGCAACTGTCCCAGGGCAGCCGTCTTCGGCCAGCTGGTGTCCCACTGACGTCCTGGCTCTAAAGGGTCAGCAGGATGGGATTTTAAACAAAATGTTGGTGGGGCATCGCGTCTAGGCAGGAAAAGTAGGAACGTGCAGAACCGGTGAGGCGAGGGAGGAGGGGCGTGGCCGAGCAGGGTGTGTGTGTATGGGGGGGCGGGGCAGGGAGGCCTCGGGTCCGATGCCGTGCAGCCCTGTGGTCCTGGGTCCGCGCGCCCCTGAGGTCCTGGCTGGTTCTGGAATGCCTTGTCTTGGGCTGATAAGAAATCCCTGATTCCTCTTGGCCAGGTGAGCACACCTGAGCTCTTCCCTGGGGCTCTGGGACAGCTGCTTTGTCAAAAGGAAGTCACAGGGTGGGACCCGGTTCCCTCTGTGGCATCAGCGCGCAGCCGTCTCAGGGCCAATGAGCTTACGGCAGCCTCTCCTCCCCCCGACGATGCCCCGAGTGTGTCAGGCGTGGACAGCGCTGAGCAAACCCTTGTGGGCTCACACCAAAGCTCACACCAAGGCTGACCCTTCTTCTGGGTGCCCAGCACCCAGCAGGGAGGTGATGGGTGAAGAGTGGCCCAGATAAGAGTTTCCCCGCAGGCAGGCAAGTGAGGAACCTGAGGCCGAACAGGTGAGACTACCAGACAGCCAGCAGTGCCAGGAGGAGCCGCTAGGTGGCTCCCGCTCACCTGTCCAACCGCCCCTCTGCCCGGGAGCAGCTCCCGCTGCACCGCCACTCGGCACGCCCCCCTGCACGCCCCCCTGCCTCTGCTCAGCGGCTTCGCCGCCCGCAGCAGCGCCGTCTTCCCGCCCGTCCGACCCATGCCCCTCCTTCTCCAGGATGCCCGCCCTGCGGGGCCCTCCCCGCACTCAGAATCCCACTTCAGCGTCCCCCTCGGGCTGGTCTCCCGTGGGTGCATAGACGCGGCTGGAGTGTACAGCCTCTCCTCACATTGGAACACTGTCTTGAAGTCCTAGGCCCATGCCTGCCGACCTCCCCACTCCCCGCTGAGAAGGGGAGGCTCTGATTTCTCGTCCCAAGAGGAAACCGGGGCTGGAGAGGGCAGGACATCTGCTCGAGGTCATAGCGGGCAAGTTTGAAACCTGCCCGGGTGCTTCCACGCTCTTTCGCAGGAGCCCTTCGGAATCGGGTGCTGTTAGCCCTTTGGTACACATGGGGAAACTGAGGCTCGGAGAGGCACAGTAGTTTGGCCCAGGCCACACAGGCAGGGTCCCGAGCTTTCCACCACACCTCTCTGCCCAGCCTCATGGCCCCCCAGGTCACCTGCCAACCTCTTCATCCACAGGAACAGGGCCCAGGGAGCGCGTCGTGGGCAGCGCCCCCTGTGGGCGGTACAGTGCGGCTGCTCTGGGGGGCCTCCTCGCAGCCTTGGAAGGAAGAGAAACTACGGACAAACAGCTGGTGGCGGTGAACCCAGCGTCCAGTGGGCGAATGACAGTCTACTCGGGTGGTATAGGGCCCAGGTTCCCACCTTCCACCCTCGCCCCCGTCCCAGCTTTCCTCCCTCCCGCAGCCTGTCCCGACAGTGGGGGGGCGTGGAGAGCACCCGGGAAGGGGATAAAGATGGGGAGACAGACTGGCAGCCAGTGGGGGGGAGACGGAGACGGTGCCAGGGAACAGCGTGGCTGGCCAAGGCGCCCGGGAGCCGGAAGACAGCTTTGGGGAGAAGCAGGGAACGAGAGGGGGAGGGAGGGTCTATTCTGCAGTTGGGGCAGCTGAAGATCAGGGTCGCAGAGAGGGGCGGGGCGGGGGCAGTCGGCCTGGCTCCTGCGGCGCCCCAGGGCGGCCCGCGGCGAACCTGTCGTCGGGCTGTGTGGGCGTCTCCCGGTGAGAAGCCACAACAGCAGCCCGTTAACGAGGCAGATTAGGGACTGTGTCGATTACCTCCGAAGGCTGCTCGGGCGGATTCATTGCTTTTAAAAGTGCTGCTGGTGGGAGGGGGAGACTAAGAAGCCCCCTCCTGGCACAAATCCCTCCTCTGCTCGCAGGGGAGGAGGCGGGGGCTGAGACGGCGCGGGGCGCGCCTGGGGAACGCGGGCGATCGGCCGGGATCGCGGGCAGAGCGCAGGGCTGCTCGTACTCCCCACCGCGGGGCGGGCGGCTGTTGCGGCGCGGGGGGGCCCCTACTCGGCCCGCAGGCCGCCTGAGCAGGGAGGCGTCGGGCTGTCTCTGCGCGCCCGGCCGCCAGATCGCGGGTCTGGGACTGTGGCTGAGACGCGCCCCAGGGCTGACCTTGAGTGGCAGGATCCCCAAGGGTTGGTCCCCGGTAACCAGAGACTCCCGGACCCGGCGCACTAGCCCTGACCCCCGGACAAGACCTCGGGGACCCGCAGGGGGCGCACTCCGGCCAGCCGCTCCGCCTTCCCCTCAGTCCGGGTCTCGGGGTGAGCCCTGCGGGGCTTTGGGAGTCGGGAGCAGAGCGCGTCGCTCCCGGGGGACGCCGCCGGCCGGGAGGGGGCGCCCACGAGGCCCGCTCGGCGCTGCGCCCGGCACGGTGAGTTGGCCCGAGTCCGGCCGCGGAGGAAGTTTTCGAGGAGGCTCCGCAGGGGTTCTCAGATCTCTCCGTGGGCCAGCGAGGGCCGCGCTGCCCAAGGCGCTTGCTGCCCTCCCGCTGGCCCCTGGTGTCTAGGGCCCGATCTGCTTCCCTAGTATCTTGGCCTTTTGGAGGTGGAATGTAACAGTCGCAGCCCGCGGTGTGTGAATGTGAGTGTGGTGTGCGTGTGTGTCGGAGGGAGACTGGGGAGCAATAAAAGGCAGAGAGTCCGAAACAAAAAAGAAAAAAAAAAAAAGACGGGGAGATTGAGGAGGAGGAGGGAGGGGGGAGGGCGGAGGCAGAGGAGCGCGCGGCGGAGGCGCGGGAGCCGGGAGCTGGGAGCGGGGACGGCGCGCAGCGCGAGCGGCGGGCAGGCGGGCGGCTCTGGCGCTCCCGCTCTCACCCGCACACACACCCGTGCACACAGGCACGCGCACACGCGCATACCTGCACACGCCCGCCCGCTGGCCCGGGTCGCCCCGGCGCGAGGCACCGAAGCGGGGATCGGGCGGGCAGAACGCGCCTGGAACCCGCGCCCAGCTCGGCGCCTTTGCGCTCCGCAGCGGCTCGCCTCGGCCGGCGCCCCCGCCCGTCCTGCCAGAAGATGGTCAACGACCGGTGGAAGACCGTGGGCACCGCTCCTCAACTTGAGGACCGGCCTCGAGACAAACCTCAGGTACGCGCGGCCGGGCTCGTGGGGACTCCCTGGGTCCCTGGCGGTGGCCCATCTGGCTGGCGGGATGGACACCCAGCTCCGGGCTCGAGTTTGGGGAGACCCCCCACCGCGAGGCTCAGGGAAGGAAGGGCAGGCGCCTTCTTCTCCATCGCCTCCAGAGAAGGATTGAACTTGGGGTTCAGGATGGGGCCGTACCCCTGCAGGAGGGAGGACCCCCTTTGTGCCTCCAGCAGTCACGGGGTGCACACTGTGTCTGAGGGACCTTCAGTTCCCAGTGCGACCAGCCCTTTAGGTGTCCGAGAGATCTCTGAGTCTGTTTCATCACCTGTACAGTGGGCGTCTTCACTACTTCCCAAGCTGTGTGCCGCCCTGTGCCAGGTGCCTGGCACGGAAACCTGAGCTTCAGGACCAAGGCTTGACCCCCCCAACCCCATCTCCTCTAAATCCTCCCACTTTAGCCAGCTTCACACACACACACACACACACACACACACACACACACACACACAAGAGGATCAGTAAGTATTTGCCTCCTCTGAGGATGCTGGGCACGGCGCTTCTCCAGCTCAGAGACCCGGAGAGCACGGCTCTGACTGAGCAGGCCGACCCCGCTGGAGGGCACACAGCTCTGCGGGGATTTGAACCTGGGTCTGTGGGCTACAGGTCTGTGCATTCCACCCTTCTCGCTGCCTCTTTGGGGGCAGTGGCAGTGGGCAGGCCTGGAGGGTGCCCAGGGCTGAGCAGCGGAAGAGGGGTGAGGGCAGAGCTCCAGCGCTGGCCAGAGAGAGGGGGGGTCGGAGATGGGAGGCGGAGTGGAGGGACGGCCCTGGGGCGGCCCCCGGGCCAGGCTGCCCAGGGACCGGGGCAGGCAGGCAGGATGAGGAGGCCTGCTCGCCAAGGAGAGGAATTAATGGAGCTGCCCGTTTTAAATTTCAAATTTCTCCCAGACAGATGTCATTGGGGAAGGAACAGTCCGTGTTGGCAGCCGCAGGAGGGGGCGGCAGGGGCGGGCCTTGGCGGCCCCTCGCTCTCCCGAGCCGCCACTCGCTCATTCTCCCGGAGTGACACGCCGCCGTGACGGGAGCTCTACAGTTTGCAAAGCTCCTTCCCAGCCTGGCTCCCCACGGCAGCCCGGGGACGAGGCGCCGACGCACGTTCTCGAGCCCCAGAGGGCGGGAGGGAGGGTGGTTCAGAGAGGCAGGGGCATATGCCCATGTGACGTGGCGTGTCAGTGGGGGTGGGGGGTGGGGGGGCAAGGCTGAGGAGCCGAGCCTGACCCCAAGCCACCCCTGGTGCCTCCAGGGCGGTCTGTTCCCTGTCAGGGCAGGTCCACACCCCAGCCACCCCCAGAGAAGAGACCCGACTTTCTCACCTCTTAGCACGAGCAGGCTCACCTCGTAGACCTGTCGCTCAAAGCCATCCCTCGCCCGGCCCACTCTCCCTCTTTACTAGCCCCTTACAGCTACTCAGTGCTTGTCATCTGCCGGCCCCTTGTCCCCCACCAGCCTGCCCATTTCCAGTCTTTCGTTGTCTCATTGTGTCGGCTGCACCCAGCTCCTCAACACACACGCACACACACTCTCAGGGAAAACCAACTAAATGCCACCTCCTCCAGGAAGCCCTCCCTGGTACCCAGAGGCTGTCTTGAAGTCCCAGCAACATCGCACCTGTGCTGCTCAGCTGCCTTCATACCCCTGCCTTGTACCCTAGCCTCGAGTCTCTCCCCTATCAGGAGCTGCCTTTGGACACACGCTCCTTCTGGGTCCCCAGCCTGGGGTCTCCCCTGGGCTCAAGCTGCTGGCCTTGAGGCCCCTCACGTCAGGAGCAGAGGGATATTTGTTGAATTGAGCTGCACGGAGCCTCAGCCAGGGGAGCTGAGGGGGAGGAGCCAGCAGGTGCTGCTGTGTCTCGAAGGGACGGGGCTTCTTTGGGATCTGTTGGAATTGTGGCCTCAGGGCCTCCTGGGCTGCTGGCCCTAGCCTTTCTCTGCCCTCCCTGGGGACACCTGTTCCAGCTGCCACCAGGTCAGGGCCCAGTGGTCTGCCCTTGGGCATCAGAGGCCGCCGAGGGCCTGTGGCTCCGGGGGCCTGGGCCAGTATCCAGCACTCCCTCACCCTGCAGGTCCTCCGGTGGCCCAGCAGGTAGACAGGCTGTCCCCTGGGCCAGCTCCGGGTAGGGTCTTTCCCGTGCCCTGGGTCGGAAGAGAGAAACTCTGCTGCACCCCTGCCCTCCAGGCCTGTTCCCTGGGGCCCCGCTTCTAGCTGCTTCCCAGACATGCTGTGTGATTCCGGGTAAGTCACTCACCCTCTCTGGGCCTGCGCTTCACCATCTGTAAAAGGGAACCGCAGCCCCTGCGTCCTCCTCACTTCACGAGGGCTGATCGAAGGGTCAAGTGAGGTGCTGGCGTGTTTTGCAAACTGTAGAGCATTGTCCCCCTCCAGGTGGGCGGGTGACAGTTCTCAGAGCAGCCTGTCCCCTTTCTCAGGCTGTCGGGGTCCCGACCGCCCCTCTGCCCACCAGGGAAAGGGGTCTGGCGCCCCAGCTCCCCCGCGGCGGGGCTCGGCTGCTTCAACAGGCACGTTCTCCAGGAGAAGACGGCAGTGCCGCAGTCCGGGCACCAGCAGTCTCTCCCCACGGGCTCCCATTTCTTACTCACACCCCCTAGGGGGTTGGTGGCCGGCCGATCGTCCCACTTGATGGATGGGGAAACTGAGGCTAACAGAGCTGGAGCGGGGCCCTCCCCGGAGGCCACGAACCTGGGTGGGAACACGAAGGGAAGAGGGGCTGCCTGCGCGTCCCCCGCTCCGCCCGCCCGGCCGCGTCACGTAGTCAGTTCCCAGGGACGGACGGATGGCAGCGTGGCTCCCAGACTCGCGGCACCAGCGGCGGCCGGTGCAGGGCCTGTGTCCAGTTGTTTCTGGGGGCGCCTCGGGCTAGCTCTGTCCCCAGCCCGTCCGCCTCCGCTCCCCCTGCGCTGGGTGACCTTGGACAAGACGCCGCGCTCGTTAGAGCCTCCGCTCTCCACCGCAGAGTGAAGGGGCTCGCGCGCCCTTGGGGCAGGAGATGCCGACGGAATATCCGCCAGGAGTTCGGAGTTGCTCTGGTGGAAGGATCTGGACACAGCCACGATCTTTCTAGTCCCGGCGCGTGGGGCCGGAAGCCCCCGTGTAACCACTTCCGGGGGGGGGCTCGTTTCCGAGTAGCCCCGCGCCGAGCCGCCCCACGGGGCGGGGCGGTCCACCTCCGACCCACCCCGGGCGATTCTCAACACTTTGGGAACTTCTAAAAACATTTTAGGAAGAAAAAAGGTTCTTGAGAGGTTCTTCCTGAGGCCTAAGCTTTATGCCGCTGCGTTTAATTCACTCAGTGACGCTTACACAGTACCCCCCTCGCAGCTGGGAGATGCGGCCGGAGCCCTTGCCCCCCGGAACTCACAGTCCTGGGGGGCCAAGCAGCCTCGGCGGGGGGGGGTTCTCACAAAGCAGGATGGGCGCGAGGTTGAAAACGACACCTTCTCCTCTCGGCCCCCGGGGCTTGGGGTGAGGTCCCTATGGGGTAAGGGTGGGAGAGGAGGGGGCTGAAAGGAAGAAAGAGGGGGCTACAAGTCCAGGACCCCCTCCTCCGCCTCCGGAGCCCCTCCTCTGGGCCCCTCGATCATTAGCCAGCTGTGCGGTGACAGCGGACCGGGGAGGGGTGGGGGTGGGGCAGGGTGGGGGGCTGGGGGGTGGCAAGCCTGCCTCCTGCAGGCGCCCTGAGCCAAGGGCTCATAGAGCAGGGCACAGGCATTCTTCCTAAGTCGTTGGGACCCCAGAATTTTGAGCAGAACAACCAGCCCCTCACTCCAGGGGTCTCTGGGACGCCTCTCTTCCAGGGCCAGAGGCTCAGGATTCGGCTCAGGTCAGGAGACTTTCACCCAAGGGTGGGCTTCTGGGGTAGGTGAGGTGGACTCCCCCTGGGGCTAGGGCAGGGGCTGGGCCTCCCACCCTCCCCGCTGACCCCCTAAGCTCCCCAGAGAGCCCCTGCCGGGCCCCAGACCACCCACCGCCCACCCTCTGCCCCCATGTGCAGTCCACAGCGTGACTCTCCATGAACAGCCCCCTGCTTTCAGCCGGGGTGCCCTAGAAGAGGGGCTGGGGGCGGCCTGCACCCGGGCCTCACCCTGCCTGGCCCCCCCGCCAGAGGGGACTTTCTTCTTCCCACTCTGGTACGCACAGTATGGGCCGAGTCCACCCAGGGGACAGCCGTCGCCCATGTCCCTTAGGTAGCAAGGAAGCAGGCAGGGGCCGGCCGGACAGGATGGGCCCGCAGGGCGCCAGGGCAGTGAGGCCCTTCCTCCCAAACCCTCCTTCCCTCTGCCGGACCCGCGTCCACCTCTGGACGCCGGGGGCTCCGACGAGGCAGCGGGACAGAGGCTGCCGCGCAGGTGAGGCCCCTCCGGGGCTCCCTGCCTCCTGCCTCCCCGGCCCGAACCCATCTGGTCCTCGCCTTGGCCCGCGCTTCCCGGGGCAGCCTGACCGTGGGCTGGCACGGGGGGATTGGGGGGTCCACGGGGGGCAAGCCGCCTGCCTCTAGTCGGGAGCTCAAGCAGGTGGCTGGGGCGACAGGAGTCTTGAGCCCGGGGCTCCCCTCCTGCCCCCTTCCTGGGGTGCTTTTCTGGTCGCCCGCCCCTCGCCGCTGGAAAGGGGGACTGTGGGGGCGATCATGGAGCTCCAGCCCCGCAGCGTCCCTGGCCCAGCTGCACGCCCCCGAAGCCCCCTCGTTATCCCCGGCGGCTTTCTCTGCCAGGCGCAGCGGCGGTGGCCTGTAAAAGCGAGCGGCACTTCTTGCTCGCGGCACTCTCTGAAGACTAACTCTCCTCTGCCCAGTGGCCCGGGTCATCTCTGAGTTCCACGGTCCCCTGCCCCTGGGGGGCCCCCTGCAGCTTTCTTGAGCCCCTCCCCTCCTCCATGACCCCTGCCCCCCAGCCAGGGGCCCGGGGCTTGGGTGGAAGTGGGTGCGCAGGGGGACGGGGCGGGCCACTGCCTCAACAGCTGGGGTCCTCAGCGCTCTGCAGTCGGGGCGCACTGCTCCACGCCGCTCAGGGCCGGGTGTCCGCCGTGGGCTCCGGGAGGCCCTGGCGGGGACCTGCTTGCTGACCCCTGTGGGGCTGCTCAGCAAGCAGCCTGGGCACAGACGGTGCGGTCCCCGGGCCGCCCGGCCCTGGGTTCAGGGGCCTTCCACGTGGCCTCGGGCGAAGCCTTCTGCTCTCTGAGCCCCGGTTTTCCCACCTGTAGGACGAGTCCCACCACAGCGGGGGGTTGTTTGGAGGTTCCAGGGGAGGTGAGCCAGGGTCAGCGGGGGTGAGGTGGTGACCAGCCTGCTGGTCTGGAAGCTGCCCGCCTGTACCGCCCGGGGAACTGGGACGTCCCGCAGGCCGCCTTCATGCCGCGCCCAGCCATCAGAGGCGGCCACAGGGTCAGAGGGGCCCTGCCTCGGGGTCCCGGGCTCAGCATGGGGTCTTGGGCCTCTGCCCTACCAGGCCCCGAGGGTCCCAGGGACGCCACCCCCTCCCCATTCCAGCACGGCCCCACAGCAGTGACCTAGTGTCTCTGCTCTTCCCTCTGCCCGGCAGCCGCCGCTCTGTGCTGGACGGTGCGCAGGTCTCCGCCCTTCGGGGCCTCCTGGTCCAGGGCCAGCCTCTGGGCCTGCGATGGCCGGCCCCCAAGTGCCAGCTCTCCCTGTGTCTGCGGCTGTTACTGCCCACAGGGATCTGTGCCCCCCCAAGAGGGTAGGATTCACAGCCTCTGGGACATGAGCTCCCTCGGGGCAGGGCTGGGACAAGTGTCCACAGTGACCTACTCAGGGGCTGGCCTGGAGCCTGGCTCATGGGGACACCAGTGACTGCTGATTGGATGTCTGAATGAAATCAAAAGCGATGGCTGTCTGTCTTATTAAGTGCCGCTGAGGGGGCAGCAAGGGCTGAGAGGAGGAGGGCTGGGGAAGCAGTCAAGGGAGGCTTCCTGGAGGAGGCGGCATCTAGCTGAGCCCTGAGGGAGGAGAGCGAGTGAGGCCAGTGGAAGAGGAGCAGGGGAAGTGGATGCCTCAGCCCAGGGTGCAGCTGGTGCAGAGCCGGCGGAGGAGAGCCCCCGGGGGCAGGTGTGGGTGGAGTGACCAGTCCAGACGCGTGGAGCCCGGGATGGCTGTGGTGGCCCTCGGGGCCCGGGCCAGTGTGGGGACAGGAGGCTGGAGCAAACTAGGGCGCAGTGAGTCTCCCCCACTGCAAGGACTGGCAGAGGCAGGGATTTTCAACCCGTGTCATCTCACGGCACACACACACTAATTACCAGAATTCTGCGGCACACCAAAAAAATGTTTTTTGCTGATCTGACAAAAACTAGGTATAATTTTGATTGATTTACAAAAAATAATAACTGTGATTACCCACCCTTTTTGCTCCAAAGTGACTTTTTAAAAAATCAGGTGCCTATACTTGTATATAAGGATTTCTGCTACCAAGAATTAACCAATCAGAAGCAACCTTGTTATGTGATGTGACCAATGAGATTCAACTCTGTTTATGCGGCCTGTTATTTGTGGCCCAGGACCTGGACGGCTGCTGTCGGCTGGGCCGTTGTCATTGCTTCGCTGGGCCGTCTCAGGGGAGAGTGGTCAGCGCCCCTGGTCCCGTGGTGTGGGAAGGCTGGCAGCGCCCCCGCCGACCATCGCGGGCTCAGGAGTTCTCTCCCTTATGTCACCAATAACCGACGGCCTCCCTGGGGGGCTGCCTGTCCGCCTGCCCCTCTCCCCTGACCCCGACGCCCTCCGGGGCCAAGTAACTCGGGAGTTACTCCTGGCGTTTAAATTTGTGGGAAAGCAGCTGCTCGCTCCGCCCCCCTTTCCCAGAGGAAGGCCTGTTACGTGATGTGACGTAAGGCGGGGGGGGGCGCTGCTTTACGGGTCACGAAGCAAGCGAGCTGTCCCTTACAGCAGTGAGATGCCCCCCCAACGCCAGAGATGTGGCAACGTATCAGCCACGCAGGGAAGTAACACTTCGGGCGGAAACTAGAAACACCGAGCCCTTGCAGACGCGCCTGTACACTGACCCTGGGACAGGGAAAGCCGCTGACACTCACGGGCCGGCTCGCTGCGCCGGGGGCGGGGCCAAGTGCGTCGGTGCGCTCACTCGTTCAAGGGCGCCTCGCCTCCGCCTCCGGGACGCTGAAAACGTGGGGGATGGACTCGTAGAGGCGGCTGCCCTGGGAGCGGGTGGAGGCTAGGGGTCGAGTCTGACCTCAGCTTCTGATTTGCGGTGTGACTCGGGGCAAGCCCCTTGCCCCCTCTGGGTCTCGGGTTTCCCCATGCGTCACAGGCTTGGTGGCGTTCTGCACGTTCCCTTTCGGCTATGACCAACTTGCCACCGTGTCATAGCGCTTCCTTCACGTACAAGCTGCACTTGGGTGCCAGCTTCCTTGGTTGCTGGCCCCCACGGCGCCCCCGAACCCAGGTCCCGTTCTCGCCTGGCCTGCCGCCTCCACCCTTCGTCTGCTGCGTTGCCTCGTTTCCGGTTCTGGGGGGCACAGCTGCCCTGTCACCCCAGCCCCCCCTCCTGGGGAGAACAGAGGCCCTTTCCCGCCCCGTCCTCTGCCGTCGCGGTGTGTGCCCCGCTTCTCCCGCTGGGGCCCGCTCTGTGGACAGTGGGGGGAGGAGGGGGGAGGGGGTGCTCAGGAGGCCCCCCTGCGCCCAGAACCCTTGGCAGCCTCAGGGGCCCGCACAGCTTTGGGACTTGGGACGTGGATGCCTCAGGTTGAGAGGGACCTTCAGTGATGGATGCCCACTGCCACCCCAAGGCACTCATTCCACTGGGACAGAGTGACATTTGTAGCATTGTTGTTGTCACCTTACTTACGGCTCTCTCTTCCAGCAGGAGTCTGCAGGGCAGGTGCCCAGGTGCGGGGCAGGGGGTGTCATCATTGCCCCCACTTTACAGGTGGGGACACCGAGGATCAGTGAGGTCGCCCCATGGGAAATGGCAGCGTGGGGACCTGGGTCCAGCTCTCTCCAGACCTAGAGGGCTTGGTGCCCTGGGCTGGCTGAGTGGGGCGGGCTGGGGCCAGTGAGGACAAAGGGGTCGCTCTCTCCATTGGTGTCCCTGTCCCTCTACCTCAGTTTCCCTTTCCATCCTCTCCACCTCTGTCTCCCAGCTTCTCTCGCTCTCGCTCTCTTTGGTGTGCCCCTTCCTCTGTCTCCATGACTCCCTCCCCCGGTCCCCAGGCAGGCAGGGCGCCCCCTGAGCCTCGTCCAGAGGCTGGGTCTGCCCCTGAGGCTGCCTCTTCCTTCTCTCTCCTGTCTGTCCGCCTGTCTGCCTCTGTCCATGTGCCCTGGCCGGCCTGCAGCGGCCGAGCTGCGGCTATGTGGTGTGCACGGTGCTGCTGTCCCTGGCCGTGCTGCTGGCCGTGGCTGTCACCGGCGCGGTGCTCTTCCTGAACCACGCGCACGCCCCCGGCACAGCGCCCCCGCCCATTGTCAGCACAGGGCCGGCCGGTGCCAACGGCGCCCTGGTCACCGTGGAGAGAGCCGACAGCTCACGCCTCAGCATCCTCATCGACCCGCGCTGCCCCGACCTCACCGACGGCTTCGCCCGCCTGGAGGACACCCAGGCCTCTGTGCTGCAGGCGCTGGCCGCGCACCAGGCCCAGCCCCGGCTGGCGGGCGAGCAGGACAGGGAGCTGCTGGACACGCTGGCCGACCAGCTGCCCCGGCTGCTGGCCCGGGCCTCAGAGCTGCAGACGGAGTGCGCAGGGCTGCGGAAGGGCCACGGCATGCTGGGTCAGGGGCTCGGCGCCCTGCAGAGCGAGCAGGCCCGCCTCATCCAGGTGAGGGCCGGGCCCGGGCCTGAGGTCTCGGTGGGAGGGCGGGGTTGCTGCCCCTTGGCGTCAGCCCTGTGGTGGCCACTTGATATCCGTGGCCTCACTCAGTCCCCACATGCCCCGGGACCAGGGGCTGTGACTATTCCTACGGATGGGCACATGAGGCCCAGAGAGGCAAGTCTCTCATCCAAGGCCACACAGGCGATGGTGCCAGGATTCCAACTGCCTTCTGCCCACAGTCCCGGGCGGCCCTGGGTACCTCTCTGAGTGGGACCCCTGGCATCCAACAGTCAGGTCTGATCCAGGGCTTTGGGGGCCTCCCGGTGCTCCAGGGCGGGTGGGATGCTGGTGAGGGCCCGCCCTTCAGTAGCAAATTGAGGTTCAAGGTCAGTGACACGCTCTCTCCTGGTGGTGCCACCTGCACCCACCCTCCCCCCACTGCCACTCGATGCCCCAGCTTTCCAGGGAAGGAGGGACCAGTGAGCGAGCCCAACCAGAACCCCAGCCTGTCCCCACCGCACCCCCGAGCCAAGCCAGGCCCCAGGGTGGGAGTTTCCAGCGCTGACCACGTTGACCACACCTGGAGCACGGCAAGAAGCCTTCCCCTCGTGGGACCGGAGCCGTGTGGAATTTGACTCATTTCCCCAGAGGCTCAGGGTGATGATTTTAGGGACCAAGTGTCCTGCAGAGCCCTGTGGCTCCCAGCCCCTCCCCACGCTACCCAGACCCTCAGCTGATCAGCCCAGACCTGAGTGCTTGAAGCAGTGCCCACGGGCACCTCTGCCAGGGCTGCCAGGGCTGCGGTCCAAAGGCACGTCCCTGGGCCTCACCCCAGACTCCCCAGCAGCTCCGTGAGTGCCAGGGAGACTCGTGCACCCGTGGCTGAGATCCCTGGCCCCGGAGGTCCTGCCTTCAGGGTTCAAGTTCTGGCTGTGGGACCTGGGGCACGTCTGGCACCCTCCCCAGGGTGGGTCTCCTCGCCTGTAAAATGGGGACAACACAGTCCTCACCTCATGGGGCGCTGGAGCTGCTGGCAGCCCCTCGGGTGCCGTCTGCACATCAGCTTCCTTTCTTGTGGCGGAAATTGTTTGCACCTGAAGCCGGGGGCACCCCCCTAACAACCCCTTTTGCAGAAGGAGTGATGGTCCGCCGTGTGCTAGGCCCGCCCGCGTGCTAAGCACCAGGGCCGGGGTCCTGACCTCCTGCCACGGAGGGGCACGCTGGGCTGAGCGTGGCGAGCGCCCTGTCCCCGGGCTTTGGCGGTGCCTGGCGCCCACCTCTGCAGCTGCCGTGTCCTCTGGAGCGCACCCACGCAGCTCAGCCAGCAGGCACGGACTTCCCCGCAACCCGGGGCCTGATTCTATGCACGTTTTAACTTGAGTCATTTGCTCGTTTAAACCGAGGGCTTCCTTGCCTGTTAGCAAGTGTGGGCCGTGCCCGAGTTTCTCACGTGTTTGTGGTGTCTGAGAAACGTGGGCGGAACCCCAGACACTTCACTGGCGAGCCCGGTGATCCTTGCCCCCCCACAGGCCCCGCCTTCCACCCCTCACCCCCGGGGCTCCCCCAGGGACGCCCCCACACGCCTGTCCGTCTGCCTGGCGCTGCACTGAAGGCCAGGGGGAGAGCGGCCGGCCGCAGAAATCCTGGCGGAACCCTCTCCCTGCGCGTCTCCGCCGGCTCCCCTGGGCTGCCGGCCGCTGGCACTGGATGGCCTGCTCAGCAGAGGGGACACGGCCAGGGAGCGAGAGCTCTGCAGCCCCTGCTGCCGCACCAGCTGGAGCCGCGTCCCGCAGACTGCGCAGCCTGTTCCTAGAACGGGCTGTTATCTCCGCGTGTGAGGACCCACCAGGCCCTCGGGCTGGCCCCTGGCCGCCTGACTGTGACCCTGTGACCCTGTGACCGACCTCCCATCCTCGAGGTCCTGCAGTCTCCCAGAGCCCAAGGAGGGGAGGGGACAGGCTTCAGACCCTTCAGGCTGCAGGCCCTGCCCGGAGGTCGGTCCTGGGACAGGGGACAGCGCGGCACTGAGTGGCTCCCCCTGGACGTAGGTGGTGGGAAGGGTGGCCACCAGCAGGGGTGGGGCAGGTACCGGGAACACCAAGTGAGCGCTCAGGCCCTCCACATGCTGTAGGAGCCCCTGCAACACAGGTCCCACCCCTCTGGCTCACAGAGGGGAAACTGAGGCATGGGGAAGTTCAGCTGCCCTTCCAGGGCCTGTGGGAAAACCCGGAGCTGACACCAGGGCCCGGATCCCAGCCGCTGCCTGCACCCTGGGCTCCCCACACAGGGTGGCACGGCCCCTGGGAAGCGGCCTGAGGCCATTCTCGGCCAGGGACCTCTCCTTCCGGGCCTCAGTTTCCCCAACTGTAACAAGGAGAAGACAAGGCCTCCGTCTGGGCAGTCCTGCGGGGTGAGGGCGGGGCTGGACCCGAGAGAGCCGTGCGAAGTCAAAGCAAGGCTCGCCCGGGGGACAAGTGGGGGGGGCAGTGCCCCAGGGCCCCCCCATCATGGGCAGATCCCATCCCCCGGCCTTCCAGGCGCTGCGGGGATCAGAAGAGACGTGGGTGAGGGTGTTTTGTAACATGGACAGTGCCTTACGGGTTCACGTGACGAGGCGGCCGAGTATGGGGTGCCCTGCTGTGGGCTGCACCCCACGCCGGGTCCTTCCCACAGTGTCACCGGTCCCACAGCAGCGGGGCCAGGAGGCCAGGTTGGCCTGTTTGGTTACGTCGCTCACCCCCTCCCGTCGAGAAACTGGAAAATGGGCGAGCTGGGGTTCGAACCCAGCTTTGCCCAGCGCCAGGTGCACCCTTCACACACACACACACACACACACACACACGCACAGCGGGGCCTACGGCCCAGAAAAGGGGGGAGCGGGAGCCCCCCAGCCCCTCCCACACGAGTCCTCTCCTCCGGGTACCCGGGCTCAGACCACCCTGGGTCCGGGCCGCAGCCGGGCCGGGGGGCCCACCTTGCCGGCAGGTGTCCCGCTGTGTGCCCGCTGGAGCCCCTGCCCCCTCTGACCACCCCTGTGCTCCGCAGCTTCTGTCGGAGAGCCAGGGCCACATGGCTCACCTGGTGAACTTGGTCAGCGACGTCCTGGACGCCCTGCACAGAGACCGGGGGCTGGGCCGGCCCCGAGTCAAGGCCGACCTGCAGAGGGCGCCGGCCAGGGGGTCGCGGCCCCGGGGCTGTGCCAACGGTGAGTGGGGCTGAGGGTTGCCTTCCTTGGGGTCCTGGGGCCCGGCTTCATCCCCCTCATTGCCCCCCACCTGCCACACTGATAAGGAAACACTGCGGCAGTCTGCCAAGGACTTCCTGCCGCCGGGCGGCACTGGGGCCCGCCCCTCCCCCCGCCTACTGAGGCGGGGCTCCCTGTGCCCATTTTCCAGATAAGCAAAGCGAGGCTCAGAGACCGTGCCCATCACCCACCCCCTTCCCAGGGAGTGCCAGAGCCAAGGCCCAGCCCCGAGGCTGGGGCTCTGGAGCCCAAGCGACATTACCAGGGGGGCCAGAGAGACCCAGGGACAGAGGGAGGGGGCAGGGCCCGGGCCGCGGTCGGTGGGCCCGCCCTGCTGAAGGCCTTCCCCGTTGCAGGCTCTCGGCCCCGCGACTGTCTGGACGTGCTCCTGAGCGGCCGGCAGGAGGACGGGGTGTACTCTGTCTTCCCCACGCACGACCCCGCCGGCTTCCAGGTGTACTGCGACATGCGCACGGACGGCGGCGGCTGGACGGTGAGTCCGCTGCTTCCTCTCAGCCTTGGGCGGACAGGCGGGGCGCCTGGGGGGGCGGGGCCCCCGGGGGGCGGGGCCACCAGCCTCCCACCCTTCATCCTGGCTGGCCCGGGGCCCTCTGGCCCCCACAGACCTGCCTGTCATCCCACCAGGGGGCTCCACACCCCCAGACGCCACCTGCCCGGGGCAAGTGGAGCCTGTGGGCTGACCCTGGGGCAGGGGGCCCCCCGGGAAGCAGACGCTGGCCCCCTCCCTGTTGCCTGCCTGTGGAGCCACCTCCCTGGGCCAGGCAGGGCCGGGCAGGGCTGGGACCAGCCGGGGCACCTGTGGCTAATGTCAGTGCAAGGGCCGACGCGTGGACACTGGCTTTCTGTCCAGTGACCCTCGTGGTGCGTGCAGGAGGTGACGGGAGGCGTGGCTGCGGGGGGCAGGGACCCAGTTTGCCGCTCTCCCGCCAGGCCAGGGGCCATGCTGCCCTCCTTGCGCCTCTGGCCCCCGCCCGGGCGGAGCAGGGGGGAAGTGGGAGCAAAGGGAGGTCCTAACTGGTGGTGGAAGGACAGGGCTGGGGCCGTCACCGAGCCCACTGCCAGAGAGGCTACATGCCCCGCCATCCACGCGCAGGCCTGCCGTGGTGGCTCTCGGCCCTGCTGTGGGACCGCGGGCACGTCACTCAGGTTCTCGGAGCCTCAGTCCCCTCGGCCGTGGAACGGGGATGCCCACCCGCGTCACGTAGAGGTCTCAACTCCAAGCCATGGAAAGGGGCCAGTTGAAGCAGAAAAGGGGTATCTGGGGGGAGGGAGACTGCGGGGGGAGCCCCGAGAAACCAGCTCAGCGCCGCCCAGTCGGGAACAGAGCCCCCCAGGCCCCGCCAGCTGAGAAGCCCAGGGGTGCCCGCGTGAGACGGGTGGGCCGGCAGGGCAGGGTGGGGCGAGGCGAGCGCATCTGGACGGCAGCGCTGGACGTGAGACGAGAGCGTGGGGCTCCCCACAGGCCCCAAGACAGACGGACAAACGGACGGACCTCTAAACCTCTCTCCGAGCTCCAGAGGAGATCTTTCAGACGCACGGGATCTGCGTCTGGGGGCTCAAAGCTCTTTGTTTCCTTAACGCGGAACATCTGAGTTATGGTGTTTGCCGCTGGGACCCCCTTGGCGGGCGGGAAGAGCAGCCCCGACCGCCAGCCGGAGCCCAGACATCAGAGTTAAGGCTTCGGACAGACTTAATGAAAGACCCAGACGCCAGCCCGAGCCGTGAATCTTCCCTCGGCCTCCCGGGAAGCCGCTCCGGAGTTGGGCCGGGGGCGGGCAGTTCCCGGGGCTGGGCTTTGGGCGATCAGAGGGGAGCGAGTGAGCAAGGCAGAGCCCCCCCCCCCCCCCCACCGCCTCCCACTCACACTCCGGGACCGGCCCTGGGGGAACGGCCCCCCTCCGCCGGGAAGTGTCTGCGGGGCCCATAAACGTTAATATCCATCTGGGCTTCCGCCAGAGGCCGTCCTTTCCCAGCCGCCGTGGGCGCCCGTCAGGACCACCTCCCTGCCACACGGAATCTGTCAGACGCTCAATTGTTGTTCGGGAGGGAGCTGGCTGCTGCCTCTCCGGCCGCCGGGACCATGCATCCTCGTTAGGTTCCCCGTGCAAACTGCTGGGCCTCGAGTGCCGGCCCTGGAGGGCGCTCCCTGGTGGACAGGGCGCCCGGGGCTGGACGTTCCAGTCGGCAGAGCCTGCTTCCCCGACACGGGCGGGGGCGGGGCTGGGGTCAGCAGCTCTGCCCACTTAGGGGGTGCTTTCCAGTTTCTATCGCACTGCCCTGCCCCACAGAGCTCCGGCACCCCTCCGGTCCCTGGGGCTGGCCGGGCAGCCTCAGAGAGGGCGAGAGATTGGTGCAAGGGCACCCAGCATGTGAGCAGCCAGCCTGGGGCACGCAGGAGCCCAGAGGAGAGTCCCTGACCCGGCCTGGGGTGGCGGGGAGAGGCTCTTGGGCAGGGGTCTGAGTGCTGGGGGACGAGGCAAGGACAGTGTTCCAGGCGAGGACAGTGTTCCAGGTGAAGGGGACACGCATGTGGAGGTCGGCAAGGCGGTGGGGGGGCTTGTTCTGGGGCCATGGTGACCCTGCCGGGGTGCTGGCCCCCCCCACCCCGAGGCTGTGGCGGCCGGGGCTCCGCTGTGTTCCCAGGCTGCCCTTGCTCTGGGGAGTCCTTGGCGCCTGCACAGCTGATAATGGCCAGGGCGGTGACCAGACTGCCTGTGTCTGAGCAGCTTGGATATTCAAACTTTCGGGGGAGCGGGGACAGTGCCCGTGAAGGCTGGGCCGGTGCCTTGGCGCTTGATAAACGGCAGCTGAGCAGTGCGTGCCAGGTGCCGACTGCCAGGCCTGGGAAGCGTGGCGGACAGCCAAGCCCGGGGGTACCATTTTCAGTCCAGAAGAGGGCAGGGCCCGCTGGGCTTGGCAGCTGGCTCTGAAGGGGAGGCAGGGGACGCCGGTTAGACCTACTGTGTGCCGCCTGGCTTCCTCTTTTCTGTCGTTGCTTCTTGGCTGCAACCCTGCGGGGTGCCCACGGGGTCGCAGACGCTGCCTTTTTCTGGAGAAGGGAACGGATGCCCAGCAGAGCCGTGACCTCCCCGAGGGTGCACGCCGGTGAGCGGCAGGCAGAGCTGGGGTTTTCCAGAACCTGTGCTTTGGCTGGCGAGACCCCGAGGTGTCCAGATGGGATTTAAGGAGCCACCGTGTCCCAGGAAAGCAGCCTTCCCCAGGGGCCGCCTTTGAAGGGCTGCGTGCGCTCGCGCATCCAAGTTCTTTGTTCTTTAGAAGCAAGAATCCGTCTCTGCCACAGCCTCCCCCACTCCCCCCCCCCCCCGGATCAGAGGCTGGTGGCCGCCACCAGCACAGTCCTGCCAGTAATTGGTTTCCACAGAAGCTTCATCAGAGCCCAGGAAAATCCCAGAGGCCCCTTCCACTGTGGCAGAGACGCCCCCTCCCCGTCTTTAGGGTTTGGATGTGCCCAATCCCCATCCCTTGGGCCTCAGCAGTTGACTACCTGCCAAGACCCTGCTCAATCAACTGGTTAGTTGAGCGCCTCCTCCTCTGGGAAGCCCTCCTGGACCACCCTCCCCCCCAGTGGCTGGCTCCCCCTCCTCCAAGCTCCCAGCGGGTCTAACTGCAGCTGTTACCATCACGGAATGCTGCATAGCAACCAGCACACGTGACCATCACCAAGACCTCATGTGATAACGCCCATTTTACAGATGAGGAAACCGAGGCACAAAGATCAAGGGAACTGCCAGTTGGGAGCCTGCCTCGACCGAGGTAGCTCTCTGCCCTGCGACTGGCTGCTGGATTGTGCGTCCATGTCTCCAGGGGGACTGTGAGCTGGCCAAGGGCCAGAGTCACCCCTGTGCGCTGGGGGACGCCCCACGGGGCCGGGGGACACAGCCCTCTCATTTTGCAGAAGACACGAGCCCAGACTTCGATGGCCGCGCAGCCCCTTGGCTGGAGTCCCAATAGAGGCTGGTCTCCTGGGGGCCGGCCCAGGACACCCCATGGTTGGATTGGAGCCAGGCTGGCCGCTCAGCTACGATGAGGGCCGGGCGGGCTCACGGGAGTGGGGGAGCCCTGCTCAATCCCCTCAGCCACAGGGGCCCCCCTCTCTGGGCCTCCATGGGCCTCCCCAAGCCCAGCCTTGGGGCACCCCACTGTGCAGAGGGGACCCCCATCTTCTCACCTGTCTGATGACAAGGGGAGCTCGGAGCCTCGCTCTGGGACTGTGGTGAGGCGGGCAGGGCGGCGGCTGTCCCTGAGGGCACTGTCTGGGTGGGGTGACCACGGAGCCAGGCCCCTGGTGGGGGGCTCAGGACGACGACCCCGTACTCTGGGCACCGAGGCCAATAAACCAGGAGCAGGTCGGACGGCGGTCTGTCTGAGGAAGGCATCCTGGCGGGGACTGGACCCACGGAGCGTGAGATGGGTCCCTGCAGCCTGTGTGACACTCGGGACAGCCGGCCACTCTCCTGCCCGCCCGCCCGCCTGCCTGCCTTTGAAACCGGAGCACCATCTGCAGCGGCGGGAGCCCGGGGGCGGCTCCCTTGTCTGAGCCCCCTCGGCGGCACCGGGAAGATGCGCCGGCGGCCGGCTTCAGAAACCCCCGCCAGGAGAACAGGCTCTGTCTTCCCGCTCGCTCGTGGCACGGGCCCAAGAGGCCACGGCGGCCGCCAGCGCTCCTCCATCAATCGCTTCGCAGCTGGAACACCACGGAGATGCCCCGGGGGCTGGACTGATGGGTAGTTTAGCTTCTAAATTAATAATGATTTCGTTTCCCTACCTTCCCCCCTTCTTTTTTTTCTTCTTTCCTTTTTTTAAAGATCTTTCTTATTTATTTTTAGAGAGAGGGAGAAAGACAGGGAGAGAAACGTCAATATGTGGTTGCCTCTCACGCGCCCCCTGCTGGGGACCTGGCCCACAACCCCGGCATGTGCCCTGACTGGGGATCGAACCGGTGACCCTTTGGTTCTCAGGCCATCGCTCAATCCGCTGAGCCACACCAGCCAGGGCTCCCCTTTCTTTTTCCCTTAAGTGGGATTCATGTCCGGTGGGTGGGCAGAGAATGGGGAGAGAATCCCAATTCTTCACCCCCTTTCCTCTCTGCTCTGCCTTTCTGGCCGGCCCCTGCTCTGTTGCACGGAGGCCTCCGGCATGGCGCCATCCCGCCGTCCGGGGTCCCTAAAGCCCAGCCGGTCTCTGGAAGCCTGAAGCCACAGCCACGCCTCAGCCTGAGTCAGAGAACACCGCCCCGCACGTCTGAGGACATGGGAGGACCAGCAGACGAGCTGGGGCCGCCTGTCGCACTTGGACTTGCCAGCAGGCTGCGCCGGGACGGGCTCGGGGCGAACCCCCCAGACTCGGGGGGTTCCGAGTCTGAGACGCTAGCCCGGACCCTGCACGGCGGGTCACGCGGCGGTGTTTGAGCCGAGGCGGAAGGGCCGCCCGTGCCGGTGGTCGGCACTAGGTCGCGACGTGTGGGCAGGTGGTGAGATCAGTCCCGTGGGCTGTGATCAGCGCCGTTTTGTAAGTCGAAGAGAGGGGACTAGAAGAAGACAGGACAGGAAATAGCAGAGCCCGACCCTCCCTCCCGGGAAGGGCAGGCGCCGTTCCAGCGAGCGTCTGTGTCGGAGGGAGGCCCTGGGCCCTGAGTGTCGCTGCGTCCCCGGGTCCTTGAGTCCAGGGCCCCTTCTGCGACCCCTCGTCACAGACGCGTCCCGGCCCCTCGAGGACGGGCGGTGGGGGTTTGTCCTCTCTCCGGTCGCAGGGCCCGAGCTGGCAAACGACTGCGGTGGCTTCGGGGGTGCGGCGACGCCGACCACTCTGTCGGGACCGTCGGCAGCGCCGACCTGGTGGCCGTCCACCGTCCCAGGTGTGGGGGAGAGAGAGCCTGGGCGTCCAGGGGGCACCCCCGGACACGTGCTCACTCCTGCTGATCCGGACCCAGGCCCCTCGGAGGGGACATGCCTGCGACAGGCCCCCGGCCCGGGAGGGCAGACGAAAGAGGGGGCCCTGAGGCCTGCGGCTCCGAGGTCAGCTCTGGGCGGGAGGGGCCCGGCCCAGGCAGCGGACGCCCTGGCCGGTGGTAAACCCTGACAGACACACCTGTGAACGTGGGTGGTGGACGATGGCCTGCAGGTGTGCAGCCGGCCTTGGGCCAAGGGCATGACCGCCCATCCTGCTGCTCACGGATGCCTGCCCCGGCCGGGCAGTAACGAGAGGGGGCGGGGGACACAGGACCTTGGCTCCGGGTCGGGGAAGGATCGACCCTCAGCACCAGCTGGTCTTGGTGGCCCTGGCCGTCTGTCCTCACAGGCAGGTCGTCTGGGCTTCGTGCCCGAGGCCTGGCACCCCACATCCTACGATGTCCTGACAGCAGAAACAGGGGAAACTAACTGCAATGGTGGCAGTAACACCTCCAGCCGCTGGCCTCCCACTCCGGGCTGCGGTCTTGGGAGGCAGGCTTCTCGGCGGATGCGGCAGTGAGGCCCGGAGGGGACGGATGTCTTACCCCGGCCACAAGGGGGCGCACGTGGGGCCAGCACCCTGTCCCTCCTCCAGGGCCGTCCATGAGCCCTCCCCTCCGGGCCCTCAGACCAGTCCTGCTTCCTGCCTGTGGTGGGTGCCCTGTTCCTCCGCCCTGAGGCTCTGAGGGGCGAGCCCTCACTCAGCTCCCCCAGCTGGCCCTGGTGCAGAGGCGCTTGGCGGGATAGTTGAGTGAATGGAAGGGGCCTGGGGCCGGCGCCCTGGGTGGCTCACGGAGGAGGGGGTCCAGGGCCTGAGTCCCACAGGGAGAGCAGAGGCTGGGGGAGAGGGAAGGGGGGAGACCCCCACCGTGGGCAGGCCGGCAGCCGCGTGCTGCCCCCAGCTGGCACTCCCCGAGGCCCACCGTGCCAGGCCCTGAGCCTTTCTCGGCAGATGGCCGGGGTGCTGTCAGGGTCCCCATTCTACAGATGAGGAAGCTGAGGCTCAGAGGAGGGAATGATAACTCCCTGGTGGGCTGGAGCCCAGGTCCGTGTGTGGTGCCCATCCCCGCCCCCCCAGCCCCTCTCTACCCCAGCCCCCAAACAGCCTGCCTCCCCCTGCTGCCCCCTCCCCCCGCCTGCCAGGATTAGGCCTTTTGGAGGGTGGGCAGCCGTGCTCAGGGCCACACTCGGCAGCTCTGCACACCCTCAGATCTTCTGAGCCCGATCGAATCTCCTTCTGCCCAGCAGGCCCCTCCTGACAGCGTCCGCATTTCAGGGCCGGGCTGGGTTTCAGGTCGTGGAGCACGACGAAGAGGTGACCTCCCCTCCCCCGCCCGATGTCAGGTCGGAGCGCTCTCGTGCACCTGCAGGCAGCCCGCGCCCGCCAGTTCCGGGTGGCTGCAGCCAGGCTGCTTAGTAATGAACCCGGCCGGGCGCTGGCGCGGCCGCCAAGCCCAACACCTCGGGCTGCCCAGATGGCGGGGTCGGGGCCAGGGGCGCTGCCTCTGCAGATGAGGAGGAAAAGGCTGGTTAAACAGAAAACCGTGGAGTGGGGGCCGGTGGGGCGGGCGGGGGAGGGGACTGTCGGCGCTAGTGCAGCAGCTCCGGCCTGGGCCAGCGTGGCACTTATTCCAGAGCAATGTAACCGATGGGACTCCCCGCTCCCCAGCCAGGAATGTTATTAAAGGAGGGACAGAGGCGGCTGGGCTGATCATCAGCACCCAAGTCACACCCGAGCCTGCTGCCGACTCCCGTCCTCCCCTGGGGCGGGGGGGGCTGGGGCTGCAGTTTCCCCAACCACCCCCTCATCCCCTGCCCGGGCTGTTCTGTGGGTGGGGGTGGGGGTGACTGGCAGAGCTCTGGAGGCCAACCCCGGGGGCTGGGGGTGGTGTGCGTGCGTGCGTGGGTGTTCTCCGTTTTTAAAAACTTGAGAATGGGATTTTCTTTGCTTTCGGTTTCGCCTGGGAAAGATATGAGGGCCTTTGTCCACTCCTTTTATTGACTAGTGGGGAAACTGAGGCCCAGGCAGAGACAGGACCATCTAGGGTCCAACGGTGAGGCAAGGAAGCTGGGTTTCCCCCACCTCACCCCACCCCAGTGACTGTGACCCCTTCGTGAGGGTCCTACGGAGGGCTTGGGGCCATCCAGGTAGCCCCACCTCGGGCCACCACAGCCCTTCAGACCCCCGGCTCTGCTCCAGGCCCCCTGCCGGGAGCCGTATAGGGCCACGGGAGGCTTAGCCCCTGCCTCCTGGAGCAGGCGGGGGGGCGGGAGGGGGGCAAATATAGGGGCGGGGGAGGCCGGTGCCCACTCTCCACCCTCGCCTGCCGTTGCAGGTGTTTCAGCGGCGGGAGGACGGCTCCGTGAACTTCTTCCGAGGCTGGGAGGCGTACCGGGACGGCTTCGGCAAGCTCACCGGGGAGCACTGGCTAGGTGAGGGGCCCCGCTCTCCCCCCGAGTGCCCCAGCCTGGCTGGACGGGGAAGGGCCGCACAGCCCTCATGCCCGGGTAGCTTGCACGCGCTGACCCGCACACGGGTGGGGGGCCGGTGGGGGCTCAGGGAAGCAGGCAGGAGGGAGAGGCTGATGAACTATCGCCAGATGCCGATAACCTGGAAGGCGTTTAATTAAGTGGCCTCGTCATGGAGAGGTAATGGGAGCAGGGAAGCGCTGTGGGTGCGTGTGGTGGGGGAGAGGGAGGTCGTGGGAGACCCCAGGACGGGCCGGGAGGGCTGGGGGGCAGGGCCGGAGGGAGGGAGGAGGTGGGTTGGGCGTTGTGCGGGGGGAGCACAGAGTCAGGCCCTGGGGAGGCGCGAGACACAGACACCCCCTTCCCGTCACCTGCCCGTCACCAGCCACAAGCCTAGCTCCTGCTTCTCCCTGGTTCTCTCTGGGGGTCGCCTTCCAGGCCCCCACCTCCTCCTGCGTCCCCTCCCCTCTCCAGGGCTCAAGAGGCTCCACGTGCTGACGGCGCAGGCGGCCTACGAGCTGCGCGTGGACCTGGAGGACTTCGACAACGGCACGGCCCACGCCCACTACGGGAGCTTCGGCGTGGGCTTGTTCTCCGTGGACCCCGAGGAGGACGGGTTCCCGCTCACGGTGGCCGATTACTCGGGCACTGCAGGTGGGGCTCTGGGCGCTGGGGTGTGTGGCCGTGGTGGCCACCAGTCTCCCTGCCTGGGAGGACTCGGGGGCGGGGGGGGCGGTCCTGCAGGTCTTCCCCACCAAGGCCCCCGGGGTCCTTATCTCAGCTGCCCCCTCCCCTGCCCCCCGCCCAGCCAGGAGGGCCGGGAGGGTCCGCCTGCTGTGCAGGTGAGCAGAGTGGGCCCAGAGCCAGGAAAGGGGACATCTGGAGTTTGGGCTGCGCTGGGCCCCTGAAGTGTGGTGGCTAAACCCCTCTGGGCGGGTTTCTTAGGCAGCGGCAAGAAAGGAAGGGAAGGTCTGAACGGCTGGGAGGAGGCAGGGACTGCCTAGACCCCAGGACAGCCACGGGGACCGCAAGGGGGCGCCCGTGAGCCGCATGGGCGCCGTGGTCTGTTGGGCGGGGCAGGTGTGTGTGCCCCGGCGCGTGTACGTGGGGGCACGTGGGAGCATCGCGCCTGCACCTGCGCCCCGAGTGCGCACTCGCGTGTGTGCCCGCGCAGGGGACTCCCTCCTGAAGCACAGCGGCATGAGGTTCACCACCAAGGACCGCGACAGCGACCACTCCGAGAACAACTGCGCCGCCTTCTACCGCGGCGCCTGGTGGTACCGCAACTGCCACACGTCCAACCTCAACGGGCAGTACCTGCGCGGCGCGCACGCCTCCTACGCCGACGGCGTCGAGTGGTCCTCCTGGACCGGCTGGCAGTACTCGCTCAAGTTCTCCGAGATGAAGATCCGGCCGGTGCGTGAGGACCGCTAGTCTGGCCCCGCGCACCGACCGCCCGCGCCGCCCTCCCTCCGCTCCCCAGCCCAGCCGCTCCTGCCTGTCGCCCGCCTGCCGGCCCGCACCTGGCTGACCTGCTCCTGTGCCGCTGGGGTGCACCAGGCCCACCCCAACACTAAGCACCCTGGGCAGATGAGGTCGCATGTCACGTTCACACTGTCCCCAGTCCCCAATTTGCCTCTGATGGGGGGCGGGGCAAATGCCCCCAAATTCTACCAGCCCAGACTTTGGCTTCCGGGTTGTGTTCTCCTGGCCGGAAGTCGGCCCCAGCTCCGCGCAGCCCCCCTGCGCTCTGCCAGCCCAAGCACCTGGCGTTATGGGGGCACGTGGAAGAGGGGACAACACCCTGGAGGCCCCCTAGCAGACCGAGTCAGGTCTGAGGCCAGCCTCCTCCGGTCCTCCGGGCACCCCCCTCCTTGTTTCCACCGAGCCTGGAGACCCCACCTCTCCCCAAGAGCCCTGGGAGCAGCCAGCGCCAAGGGCCGCTGTGGCCAGGGGCTGGCACATCCCACCAGGCCCCGGGCCAGGCTGCGGCTCATCGCCTGCTGGGATGCATGCCCCACGGTGGGCTGGTTCCCCGAAGTCCCTCCCTCCACCCTGTGTCCCCGCGTCCTGGGAGGTCCCCGTGCCCTTGGCTGCTGGGCCCAGCCCCCTCCGTTCTCCTGCCTGCGGGAGGAGGGGACAGACCCCAAACCACTAGTCTGGGCCCAGCCAGGGAGGACCTCTTGATTCTCTGGGCAGCTCGGGGCTTGCCGCACCCCCAATTTCCGGGACCCCAAGACTTCCTCGGGGCAGGCCTGGAGGGTGGAGGCGGGGCCTGGGGAGTTCAGTGGCCATCACCCCCATGTCAGCCCGGAGACCACCGCTCAGCGCAAAGGCTGGCCCCTGGCAGCGACTGTTCATGCTGCCACCTCAGGTCAGGGGTTCACGTGGCCAGTGGAGGAGACGGGTCCCAGCCCGGCACTCAGAGACACTTTCTCACTGAGGCCCCCAATGCCCAGGGCACCCTTGGTGCGCCCCCTCCCCCAACAAGAACTGCAGGCTCCAAGGTCAGTGGTCGGGAAAGGCAGGCCTGTGAGCCCTGACCTTCACCTCCTGCTCAACGACCTTGGGCCCCTGATGCATTTGCTGTTGGAACCAAGTTCAGGGCTGCTTTTCCAAGTCTCCATCTGTGGGTACCTGTGCAATGGGGTCTGTGGGGGCCCAGAAGTCGGGGGGGAGCTGCCCAGAGCGTGGGCAGCACCGGTGACCCCCCTGCAGCAGGACATCCGAAGGCAGGCACACGGGGAGAGGGGCTCCGCTCTCCCCGCCCTTCCCGCCAGAGTGTGTGCATTGACAACACGCTGGAGTTGGCTGGGGTGGCAGGAAAGGCCTGGAGGGCCGCCCACTTGCCCTGTGACCCGGCCAGTCCCCTCCAGCCCCACCTGGTCCTCGGTGCTCGGCGGAGATTTGTGGGACATCTGCTCTGCCCCGGGCGGCTCGACCAGACCAAGTCCCCGCCCTCTCGGCACTCAGCTCAAAGCGGAGGTGGCCCAGGAACGGGCGCTTGCAGCCCAGGGCGCCCGGGGCAGCGGCGGGAGCAGCCCAGGTGCAGGCAGGACGGAGGGGCAGGCGGGTGTGGGGCGGCCACACCTGGCCAGCCCCGGGCTGGAGCTGCCAGCCCTGCAGAGCCAGCTGCCGCTCAGCACGTGCCCGGCGCTTTCTGCTCGGCCATCAAACACGCTCCCGGTGACTGTGACATTCAGGGGGCCATGCTAGGGCTGGGAAGAGGGGCAGACGCGCCTCAGCTGGGGCCTAACGGAGACACGTGAGGACGGCCTTCGCGGGCCTGCGGTCAGCATCCGGCCAGCCTGGGGGCACCCATCCCCCTGTACGAGAGCACCCAGTCCCGCTCCCAGCCCAGGCCCGGCACCACCAGGGGACCAGGCCGGCCCAAACGCCGGCTGAATGAGCATCACGGTGGGGACGGCCAGGCCGGCACCCCCTCCAGGGGCTGGCGCTGAGCACAGGCGGACACGGCGCGCAGGAGGCTGCTGGGAGCCAGGCAGGCCCCCGCGCCGCGCTGCGCCGTCCACCACACCAGACGGGAGTGACCACAGGAAGAAGGGGATGCTGGGAGGGCCCGTGGAGAGGGGAGGCCCCACCGAGTCCCGAGGGGTACAGACGTGCAAAAGGTCACCCAGGACCACGGTCCCTGCACTGGAACCCTGACCCACGGGCCCAGACTGATGCTGCGCGTGCCTGTGGCCCCGCCCCCCCACGCCAGCGGACCGCCCGCCTCCTCCAATGAGAGGAGCCTGCAGGAGGGGCAGTGCCCACACCAGAACGCTGGACAGTGCATGTAACCCCCACCCCGCCCCTCCAAGTTCCTCTCCACGAGCACAGGCAGGTTCCGAGGAATCAGCCGGGGCCTCGGGCCTTGCTTCCCAAACTCAGACATGTCTCCGAGTCCAGCCCCCTGGCTGGCCACCTGAGCCCCCCGAGTCCAGAGGACAGACAGACCTGGTTTCCCCCCAGCCCCCCAGGACCTCGGCAGTCAGGACAGAGCAGCGGGCAACCCTCGAGTGCGGCTGCGTCTGCAGCCACCTGTAAACAGGCTTCGTGTTTGCCTTGAGGCAGAAGCCATGGCACCAGTCAGCGCCCACCTCCTCCTGGCCCCGCCTCCCACACTGCCACTCACCCTCCCGGGCCCTCAGGCTGGGGGTCGGGGGGAGCTGCAGCCCAGAAGGATCAGGAGGGAAGGGTCGTGAGGTGGGTGGGTTCAGAGGAACCGCCTGCTGCCCCTGCTGTGCCAGGAGGCGAGGGCGGGAGTGGGTGCCCACCCGCTGGCTGGGGGCGGGGACGGGAGCGATGCCGCAGACTCCGTCCTGGGCTGTCCGAGGAGCAGCGTGCTGGCAGGACACATCAGACGCACTGGCCCGGGCACAAAGGACCCTGGGGCCGGTCTGCGCGGCCCAGGCCTCTCCAGGGCCTCGGTGCTCCCCTGCTTGCAGGGACCAGCCCGAGGGGCCCAGGCAGCGGGCGGGACTGGACGAACCAGGGGCTGAGCTTGGCCTTGGGTGGGGTTTGGGGGTCTGGACGGTGGGGGACTGGGCGGGCCCGCCCTGTGAGAGGCAGGTGCCCATCCTCGCTGAGAGCACTTGGCGTCGTGTGTGTTCCCGTCTCCAATAAAGTCTCGTGGTGACCTGGCTCGGGCCTCGTCCCCAACCCCGCTCCGCGCCCGCAGGGGAGCACGAGGTGGGTGGGACGCCAGGGCCAGGGGGCCTTCTGCGGTTCCCTGACTCGCCCCCACCACTTCCCAGAGCGCCTTAAACCCGAGGGGCTGGGCGCTGGGGGGCCCCATCCCATCAGGGTCCCCGGGGTGACACGCTGTCCCTGTGGGTCCCTCGTGGCTGGACTCCGGAGGAGCTGAGTCTTTACTGAGAACGGCCCCCAGTGGCTCTTTATCCGTGAATCCAGTTTGAGGCTTAAGGACAGAACAGTGCCCCGAGCTTATCTAATAAAACCCAGTATTTACTGAGTGCCTGCGTGGGAGGCCTGGTGCAGGCCTGGGCTGGGCGCTGACCGTGCACCTAGCGCGTGTGGCCGACAGAGGCTGCCGCTCGCCCGCCCGTCCCTGTGGGGTGGTGGGGGCTTGTCCCCTCCACAGTGTCCTCCACTTGGGGAGCTCCATATCGGGCCCACAGGGGCGCCCGGGGGTGGGCCAGGCCACTGCGAGTGACTGTGACCACGGCCATCTGCCTCCCCACGGGCCACAGCTGACAGCCTTGCCCGACTCGGCCCCTCCCCTGCAGCCCCGGGGCCCATCCCTCATCAGAGAGCTGCCCTGGCTCAGGTCGTGGGGGGTGGGGGGCGGTCAACGAGACTCGGTGAGTTCAGCCACGACGGGGTTCTCAGGGCCGAGGAGGGTGCTTGCGGTTTAGCCCCAAACTGGGCCTCATGCAGCACCGGAGGGGCCCCCACGAGAGGAGGAGCTGCCCCCCACCCCGGGGAGGCCCGGGCCCATGGAGAGGGCGCCGGCTGGGCTCTGGGGCACCCTAGGCAGCCCACCCCGGTTCAGTGGGTACCGAGTCACCTCCCCAGGCTCCACCCCCAGGTGGGCTCCACCTCCCCAGCGCACGACCCCCCAGGACGTGGGCACTGCTGTCATCCCCAGTCAGGCGGGGAAACGGTGGTGGCTCAGCATGTGACAAGAGTCGCCAGCGGCCACGGGTGGCTCGTGGCTGAGCAGCCGAGGGACCAGTCCTCAGGCTCACCTGGTGCTGGAGGGGGACGCGAACCCGGGAGCTGACCGAGGGGTTGTCAGCTCAGTGGCACCAGCACCAGGCCGCCACCCCGACAGGCCCTGCCCTCAGCCCATGCTCCCAGAGGCAGGGACAGGCTGCCGGTCCGCTGGGACGTGCTGGGATGTGCTGGGACGTGGCCCTGACCCTCCCCTGAGACAGCTTCCCAGGCTCCGGGCCCCTTGCACTCCCCCGCTGCCCGGCCCGAGGCTCTAGAGCCGGTACACGGAGGCACCTGACAATGGTGCAGTTGATGAGAGTGGGAGACAACCGCTGTTTCCGTGGGCGTCCGAGCTCCTGAGCCCACGGCAGCGGCCGTGCCGGCCGGGCAGTCAGTGCAGGAGGCAGGCCCGACGGAGGCAGGACCAGGACCGTTAGGGTCATTAAGGGTGGCACCGCCGCCTCCTCCGGGGCACTCGAGGGCCGGTGGCTGCAGTTCAGAGTTAATGATGCGCTGGCTCTCCTCGGAAGGAGACAAGGGCAGCCCGCCAGCCCCAGTCAGAGCACATCCTGCGGCGGTGGGTCTCTCACCCATGCAGCCGGCGCCGCCCCCTCCTTCACCACCGGCGTCCCCATGGGATCCCGGGGTCAGGAATGCACAGCAATCAGCGCAGCCTGGGCGGCCAGCCCACGCGGGCGGCCCGTATAAAACAGGGATCACCCAGGAGCCGCATCTCCTGGACCAGAGCCCGGAGGAGCTGCCCAGCCCGGCCAGGGGCCCAGGCCCACTGCACGGTGAGTGCAGCTGCCCCGCACCCCATAGGGACCCTGCTTAGGCTCTCACCCGGGTCGGGGGGCTGGGGAGGCCCAGGGAGGTGAGACCAGCGCCTCACCCCACGGCCCGGAGAAGCACAGAGCTGCCCTCCGGGGCTCGGCCCCGGCCCCCCATCTCATGCGCTTCTTGCTGCGTCCTGAATGTCGGGGCCTAAAAGCCCCGACGTGTGCTGGGGCCCGATTTTAGGTGGCAAGTGCCTCAAGCTTCCACCAGGTTCTTGAAGGGGCCCCTGACCCCCAAAAGGTGAGAAGGGCCACTTCCTTCTATGCATCAAGATGTCCCCTTTCACGGGACCCAGGAGCCCTCCCTAGGTGGGTTCGTCCACTCGCTGGGAGCCTGCCCGGCTCACACAGCTGTCTGCAGTGCCCCTTGCCCACCACCCCCCCCCTGCCGCCTCCCCACAAGGCCAGAAGGAGGCGGCTCCAGCCCTGGGGGAGGAGAGGAGCCTGGGAGGGCCGCTCTCGTGAGCTCTGGACAGCCAAGGCCAGGTTCACTCAGGGAGCCCCGGCCGCCTTCCCCAGAGCCAGCTCTTGGTCTCAGCCTGCTCCCATCAGAGGACCAGCCGGCCCCGACATGCCGCGACCGACCGCTACCAAAAAGGCCTCCTTGGCGAGGACACGGTCGATCACTGCCGAGGCAGGGGCATGTCGGGCAGTGCTAGCCCGGGTTCAAATCCCCGCGGACCCCCATCCACGGGGCAGTTCCCGAGTCGAGCCCAGTCCGACCTGGGCTCACACCCTGGCCGTCACCTGCGAAGCTGTGAGATCTGGGGCGAGTCCCCTGTGGGAGCCTGCGGTCCCCACGGAGCGGGTACCACCTCCTGGGGAAGGGCAGTGAGGACAGTGAGGACAGTCGGTAGCAGACGTGGACAGGAGGCAGTGCCCACGGGCCAGCAGAGGCACAATCCTTCGTCTCCCGGACAGTTCTCCTGGCGGAAACGGGAGTCCCAGTGCCTGAGAGTCAGGGCTGTGCTGAGGCTGACGTGGGCACCAGCGGCGCCCCGGCCATGCTTGCATGCCCTCTGCAGGTGGGCACCGGCCGGAGCTAGACCAGGGTCGTCTGGTCTGCTTCCTGCCTTCGGGAGCAACATGCTTCTGCGTGAGAGGCAGGAGCAGCGCATCCCAGCTAACAGCTCAGCCAGACCCACTCATGACCACGTCTGAGACACGGGGAGCCCTGCTACTGACTTTCTGCCCCGCGGCTCTGAGATGAGTCGGCCGGAGTCAGTGACTGTACAAGAAGAACGAACCCCAGTTGCCCGGCTCTCCCGGGGCTGCCGTCAGCCCTTCCAGCAGCAGTGGGACTAGACCCTGAGCTGCCGTGGCTGTCAGACCCGGGGAGGCTGAGGAGGGAGCACCAGCTGGAGACACCCCCCTGCGCTGCCTCCCGGTCGGGCTCTGCTGAGCCCCCAGCTCACACCGCCGGCAGCTGCCCAGACCCGGGGCAGGAGGTGGCTAGTGCCCCACACGGCCCACGTGGGTGGCCTCTAACCTCTCCCTCTTTCCTCCGGACCAGATGGCCAGCCCTTACTTCCTGTCCTGCCTCCTCCTCCTGCCGCTGGGCACCTGCCTTCCTCTGCCGGACGGAGAAGAGCCCGGGGACGCCAGGGGTGGCATCAGAAGCAAACCAAGCTGCGCCGACCCGGCGGGGGGACGCCGCGCCTGCCTCCCGTGGGGCTCCTCTCCGTGGCGGAGAGCCGCACACCCGCTGTCCCTGCTCGTCGCAGCCCAGGAGCCGCCGCCACCGCCGCCGCCGCCGGTGGGCAGAGCGTGTGCCGGCCCGAGGCTTCGGTTCGGGAGGCAGGAAGACGGCAGCGGGGCCGCCGGCTTCCTCCCCGCTGATGGCAAGACGGCGCGTGGTCAGTTGGGGGCCCTGGCCAGAGAGCTCAGCGGCTACAGCAGGAAAAAAGGCGGCTTCAGCTTCCGCTTCGGCCGGCGGTGAAGGGACCAGGGCGTCCTGGAAAGGGTTTCTCCCGGGACCCCGGCCCCACCATCCTCCCCACCTCCAAGACCCTGAGTAGGCGTAGGTATTATTACAATGAATTATTAGCCATAGGACTGGCTAGGTGGGTGCTTTGTTTTGATTTCCAACTTTGCTGAAGCAAAAACCTGGGCTGTGTCAAAAAAAAACAAGCCGTTCTGGGTGAGGAGGAAGACGCCACTGTCGCGGCGGCCCCTCCCCGTGGCCTGGTTCCAAGCAGCCCCCTGGCTGGCCGCGGCGGCGCGGGGCTGAGGACCCTGTCGGTCTGGAACGCGAGCGGGCAGCGGGCTGTGCTGGCTCCGAGCTGAGGTCAGGCAGACTGAGCGATGACCGCGGGGGACCGAGGCTCTGGCAGTCTCCGTGGGGATATCTGTGGTGGACACCCAAAGTGCTCCGGGGACGGGGAGGGTCCCGCTGGCTACAGAGCACGGCTCAGAGAGGGAGCAGCAAAAAAAAAAAACCCCAAAACCACACACTCTTGTTCTTCACCCCATGAACACGAGACCCCCGGGCACAAAAACCCTGCTGCACGCAGTGTCTAAGTGCCACTCAGGACTGGCTGCCCGCTCCCTCCGGTCACCGCCCTGCTGGGGGTGCGGGTCGGCCGAGGGGCCCGCGGGGTTGGGGCATGGACAGCCGTGCTGCAGCCGGTGCACTGCGAACGGCAGGGGCGTGAGGTGCGCGGCGTGGGTCTCCTGAATAAAAGCGGAGGAAGCTCGCCTGACTCGTGCCCACAGGCCCTCTGTGCCCCGGCACCTTCGCGCCCCCGGGCTGCTGGGGCCTTGGCCGTGGGGAGACAGAAACCGTGCTGCGTGAACCGCACCCCTCTCCCAGCACCCCCTTAATCGGCGACTGGTAAAATGCCCGTGGTCAAAAGTACTGGGCGCGCGCACATGCGCGCGCACACACACACACACACACACACACACACACACACACACGATGGCCTTTGGCCCTGCACTTGGCTGCTCCCGCCCGGGCGCTCTCCAAACAAGGAGCGTTCTGGAAACAGCCTCCCTGCAGGGAGGAAGCCGGGGCTCCATCCGGAGAGGCTGCAGGCCCCGGGCGAGGCGGAGCGCGTCCACAAACGCTGCTCTGGCACGGCCCGGCGCCCCGTCCTGGGGCAGCCAGAGCAGCCGGACGCTTCTCACTCCCCGGCTGCTTCAACGGAGGAGACAGGAACCTGTATCGATGTTACTATGGCAACATCTCCCCTCCTCCTCCTCAGGAGCTGCTGCTCGCCCCTGTTCACCATTGAATAGTTTCCCATTGAGCTGTCACAGTTAATTGGTGGATTTTTATTAGCCTTTTAGAACCGCCCTGGGCTCGGCCCCGCTTGGCGCCCCGGAGCATGTCCGTGTTTTCCCGTCTATCGGTGACTTACACGCCCCCAGAGCCAGAACTCAACCCTCCGCAGCCAGAAAGCACTTCGTTGCGGCGTGTCCAGGTCTGAGCCGTACAGCCAGGTGGACTGGGGGGAACGGGGGCGGTGGACATGACGGGTGCACAGGAGCCGGAACACTGCCTGCTGTCGCAGCGAGGTGCCTTGCCCCGAGCTCCCACTACTGCTCCCCAGCGCCTCCGTGCGCGGGCCCTGGGGCCCTGGGGCCCTGAGCTCTGTGACCGGGACCAGATGATCGGGGAGGCCCATCACACCCCGACCCCCACCACAGTCCGAGGGGTGGGGTCGGGAGTCCCCCTGACCTCCAGATGGTCTGCGGGGGATGGAGCACACCCCGGGGCTCTGTCTGCTGCTCCCAGGGGCAACCACTCGGCCCTCAGGGCACGGAGGGCAAACCTCCAGAAAATAAGCCCGTGTGCCTGCCCACCGGGGACGGCTGGGCACTGAGAGTCTACATCACAGGGTGTCCGGATGAAGCCCCCTCACCCCAGGGCGTGGCCACGCCCACTCTAAGGTGGGGGCGGGCAGGCAGCTACCTGGATCCCCCCCTCCCTCGGCTCATTCACATGCACCCAGACACGTGCTCCGGAATCACCAGGTGAAACGGGCCACAGACCAACAGCAGAGGGACCGACCCTCACCTGCCCATTCCTACTTTTAGAGTGTGTAAATACACACCTGAGAAAAAAGAGCCACCCACCCACGCGGTCACTAATTACAGGACTCGGTGGTCACCCAGGCTGACATACCCCCGTGCGTGTGCCCACACACTCGCCCTGGCTGGGTTTTAACTGAGCCCGGCCAGACCCACCTCGATGGGGAAGCTGGAGATGCAGGGGAGGGGCTTTCAGAGGCGCGCACAGCCTGCCGCTGGGCTTTTCCCACGACACAAACACCGGCAGGGCCGCGGCCCCCGCAGCGGCCGGTGCGTGGTGCGCTCCGTGGTGCTCTCCAGCCCAGTGATCGGCCGCCAGAACGCCGACCTGCTCCAGCGCGCATTGATCCGCTGACTCCGCTCGCACTCCCCATGGCTAATCTCCTCTTTAACCCTGGCGCACTCCCGGCCTCACCGGCTCTGCCAAGGTCGGGGGCCTGCGCGGGCCCTGCTCTTTCCGGGGTAGTGAGGGCGGGGCTCGTCGGCACGCGTTTGTCTCGGAGGCAGAGCGGGATCCCCTGAGCAGCCAGCCGAGTCTGCTCCACAGGGCGGCGGCGCAGGCGCCCCAGGGCAGTTGGCAACACTTGGTTACTTAAAACACACAGAAGTCTTCATCTTGGGTGTAGGTCTAAAGGTAAATACCTATTAAACTGGATGGGGAATATTTCCTTCTGTATTTTCGTACGTGTTTGAAACAATAAGAATGTTTAAGAAAAACAGGCTCTGTGGGCAGCAGGCCATTAGGCAGCTGCTGCAGACGACAAGGGGCCACACTGGCCCCAGGGCCCCAGATGCCACATGACGCATCCCACGGAGAGGCCGACCCAGACACGGTGTGTCCGCCCTCCCAGCCGGGAGCTGGGGACCTCGCCCAGGAGGCTGGGTGGGCCCCTGGGGACGAGGGCAGGCATGGGCAGGGACAGGCTGGTCCCAAGACCGGCTGGTCAGTCCTGTCCCACCTAACGCCTGGCGCCAAGACAGCACACAGAATTTGGTTTCCCCAGAGCACTCAATTTGGGGACACCTTCTATAAAGTATCTTGTCACCGAGAAGGTGAGTGAGCTAATTCCTGACTTCTCCTCCACGACGGAGGGAGGAGCCTGGCTCCGGAGCACGAGTCTCTGCTAGTCATGCTGCGGCCATCTGTGCTGTCAAAACATGCGCCTTGGCAGAGGAGCTCTAAGCCGGCACACGCTGTGCGACCTTGGGCAAGCCGCTTCCCGTCTCTGAGCCCCAGCTTCCTCACCCATCCAACGAGGGCAGTGACAGAACCACCCTCACAAGACCCAGGTGAGAAGGCCACGTGCCTCATGCAGAATGCATGACCAGCTCCTGCAAGTAGCTGGAGTGCTCGCGAGAGCCGGGGTTTTGAGGAAGCCTTCACCGGAACGCGCGCGCCGAGAATGCGCTCCCGCCCGAAGTGCGCGCACAGCTGGGCGGACTTTCACCGGCGGACACGCCCACCGGCCGGCACCACGCAGTCTGCAAACCGTCAGGGCTGCCTGCGCCCCGCAGCTCCCTCTGCCCTGCCGTGCAGTGACCCCCACCCAGACTCCCAGCACCACACCCCAGACCAGCAGCTCTGCCCGTTCGGATGAAGGGAAGCGCCGGCACCAGCGGTGTGCGCGGCCACTTCAGCCGCATCACGCCGGAGACGTGCCCTCGTACGCTGCTGCGGCACCGCTCGGTGCCTTCTCACTGCTCGGGAACCTGCCACCCGGCGGACGGGCCACGACGCGCTAATCCTTTCCTCCACCGGTGACCTGCGCGTTGTCCTCCGGGAGTGTTTTTTGCATTCCGACACTTCAGGCTCACGTGTCGTGGTGACGACGTCCACAGCACCGGCTCTGTTTGGCGGGGTGGGCCCTTGGCCGCTCCCTGGTTCTGGGCCTGGAGGGCAGAACTCCGCGCTCTCTGGGAGCCGCTGCGCATGCGCGCGCGCGCGTGTCGCTCTGGGGTTGCAGCCGGCGTGCCTGCAGTTCCCAAGGGCTCCCCTGACCTGAGAGAGTTCAAGAAACACTGTCCTGGAAGGGCTAGCCCCAAGTGTAAGTTCGGGGGACACACGGCAGACTCCCGTTTGGGAGAGGGCCCTACCACACGCGCTGCCAGAGAGGCCGCTGGGAGCATTCCGCGGCGGCCAGTCCGTGTCTGACTCGAGGGAGGCAGCCGTCCCTCGTAGCTGCCATCCCCGTCGCCCCGCGCCTTCTCTCAGACCTGAGAGGTGTCGTTCGAGGGGAGAGCCTGCCACCCGCGGAAAAGCCCAGACTTCGGAGAGCGGGTGTCCAGCACGGTGCAACCGCTCCCAGACTCTGCGGACCCGGGCCCCCGTCTTTGCCCGTGGAGTGAGAGGGCGGAGACCCGACCTCCCCGCTGCCGGCGGCTGCTCGGCCTGCGCATGCGCAGGTGGGTCCCAGCCAACCGGGCCCCTGGCAGCGTGGGGTCACCGCCGTCACCAGGCACGCCGCCCATATCGCCGCGGAGGGCTCCAGGTCCAGAGGCTTCGCTGAACCGCGCTGCTCACTGCGCGGCGGCGAGCCGGGTCCGGGTCCCCTGACAGGCGGGCTGACTTAATAGGTATCATTAACCAGGGGCACTCCCTTTCCCGTCTTCCTTGCCCAGCTGTCAGCTGGTGTCACACGGACACCCAGGCGAGAAAACGTCAGCGCCGCCCCCAGCGGCCCCGGGCTGGGGTGGGGAGAAGCCGAGGCAGGGCTCGGGAGGGCGCTTCCCTCCCCTCCAGGCCAGCACACCGTGCTTCTCCTCATCCACGCACAAAAACGGGACCCGGGCGTGGGGAACACGAGTGAGCGGCGCGTCGGGGGCTGAGGGCAGGGCTACAAGTTCAAGGGCGCAGATAAAAGCGCACCAGTGGGGGGACTGACTCTCTCGGCCCTGGGAAGCAGG